AGTTCGGCTCGCGTGCGCAGCTGTCTGTTGGGCGATCGCCCTCGCGGTCGCGCCAAAGTGCCATTTTTATCGCGCTTCTGCGGTATCACTCACTGCACTTCTTGCCGCACATCTTGGCTGTCCGCGCCTGTTCTCCGTTCTCACGTCGAATAGCCGATGTCGATAACGCGCAATTAGACGCGTCGAACGAAACGAGCATTTCAGCCGATGCTTGCGAACGTCGGCGTCGAAACAAATAAGTCCACGATTTCGCTCGAACAAAAATTGGTGCAAGTTTTAACGGTAATCGGAAACTCTTCGTCTTGCAGACGCGCGCACTCAAAAGAAGGATAGCTCCATAACAAACTCGAGGTGCATAAATAACTGCGAGAAAAATAATGCTGCCGTAAACAAAGTAATAAATGCAAACGAGAGAAGGAGGATTGCGCCGCGCGGGCATAAAAACTTCAAAAAAACTTTGTCTGCTCAGCAAAGGATGAAAAAAAGAAAGAAGAAGTGGAAGAGGAACAAACTCGCGGGAAATATGAAAAGATAGAATGGAAACTTCAAGCGGAAGGAATGAATAAAAAAGAAGGCAACGGAGTACAAAAGAGAGAGGGAGAGAAAGCTCTTGGGCACACGGTGGCAGGAGGAGGAGGAGAAGCTCGGCAGCGTCTCCATAAATCTTGCTATAACGTCGAGATGGATCAGCGAGAACTGAGAACGGTCACGTTTCTCTTTCTCTCTCTCTCACTTGTGCTATTCGGGCGTGGACTCGGGCGAGCGCATTCTCTTTCCGTCTCTCTCTCTTTTTCTTGGCCCTTTTACATCTCTTTTTTTCCTCTCGGCTCTCTCTCTCTCTCTCTCTCTCTCTCTCTCTCTCTCTCTCTCTCTCTCTCTCTCTTTCTCTCACTCACTTTTTTTCGGGCTGCGCTTTTTCCAACGCGCGCTTTATACCGCATAACGATATATAAAATGAAATGTGGAAGTAGCCGCTACGCGATCGTAATACCGAGCACGAGCCGCTCATTCGTCATTTTACGCTCTCTTTGCACTGTGCGCGAGAAGCTTTGCGCCAATTTTTGCACGATTGCTCGTTACTTCTTGTCGAACAGATTTGATGCTCTCGGGAGGAGCTTTTTTTCGTTTGAGCGATCCCTTTGCATTTATAACTTTTGCATTGGCGACGTCACGCGCACCCACGTTCGCAGATACCAGCAAATTTTACAGTTCTACCCTGCGACCATTTTGCTTTTCAGTCACACCTAACTTAACGTATCGCTAGAGGGATTAGTACGGCTATTTACCTTCCAAATATTATTAGATGCCTTATACGTAACTGCTTCGTTGTTTATATCTTTTGTTAAGCTTCAACTAAGATCCTCATGTAAGTGTGCTCGAACAAAGTATAGCATGTAAAGCTCTCGTAGTTTATACGTAAACACGCGATCGATCATCTTCTTCGTATATTTCAGTAAGCTACGACAAATGTATATTTATATTTATAGCTTCTTTTATGCAATGGTTATAAACGTCTATTTTCAGAGAATCCAAATTTGAAGACAGGAAAAATGCCGAGTAATTATTTTTTAAACAATATATTTTTCTAGATAAAAATGAATTCGAAACTGTTTGACTAAGACCATAAACGGTACATATACGAGCACCGCATTACAGGCGTAGAACAAGGGTAATGTTGCAAGTTTCTATAAAGATGCAAGTTGTAATATTCGGATGTGATCGAGGTGAAGAGTGCGAGGTAACTGTTGACTTGCCGAGGAAGGCAGACGGGAGGAAGCAGGATAAGCGACTTTGGCGTGGAGTAAAGCTCTGATATCGAAGTGCGAAGAAAACGTTGGATCGTGGGAAAAGGGAGAAAAAAGGCAGAGGCAAGCGGCGGACGTTTTAATGGATTTTTTTATCGGTCGGCGCCGCTCGCGGGCAGGCGAAAGAGAAAGAGAACTCGCGCACCGCTGGGATTCGGATATTCAATGTTGGCGCACCTGTATGGATATTAAATTAACACCCGTAAGCCGTGAGTATTAACAACTTTGCAAAAGATTATACGAGATTATGAGCTCAAGCGGAACACGTGATTTTTAATGCCAGCTACCGCCGCTGCAGGCTACGGCGCGTTATAAGCTGCACACTGCCCAGTGCGCGAAACAGAGAGGCCGGAGAGCATGAAAAAATAACCCTTTGCTCTCGCCGCGGCACATCCGGCAAATCGGTTCATTTGTAAATAGACGCGCGAGCCGGCCGATTGGTGTTGCTCTGCCCTATAGCGTGCTGCACGCGGTTCGTTCGGTCCTCGGAGTTCACATTTTTCGTCGCTTCCACTCGCGGCGATCCGTCGGACACGCTGAACTCGCGACAATTGTGCGGACGATCGACCGCCATTCAAGCGGAAAACTTGGCTAATGTGCCCGTTATTCGATCGAAATCATTCGCAGCCAGGCTAGCGCAGCCGGCGGAAGGCTCCGCCGGTTACGCGTGGGAGGACCAAGGTTGGGAAAAGCCCGTGGGCTAACGCGTCGCGACACATAATGAATCGCTGCGTCCTTTCGGCGGGAGAGCCGCGCCAGTAGTGGCGCTGCTGCGGCAGACTGTCGATATGAGAATGAATGCGCCGCTTTCCTGAGCCGAAATGCAAATGGACTGTGCAGTAGCGAGCGCCGTCAATAATTGATATATACGCGGCTGCTGACAGCTGCTAACCCGGCCCGAATACGGATGACGCCAGGTAATCCTCGAGGGCTCTCATATACCGGTTAACGCGCCACAGTCAAACTGCACATGGCCCTGCGCCCCTCCCACCACTCCCCTCACGCTCGCTCTCACTCACTTTACCACGTATAAGCGCGCTCTCCGTGTGGAGCCCAGCGGCTCATACCAGAGCTTACGCGTGATCTAACTCGACTGACCGAAAATGAATACACATTGGCTTGCCGGTGCAGCGCTCAAAAACTACCTACAGCCTATGCTTTTAGTCGTTTTTAGTCTGCCTGTGAGACCGCGTCTGAGCTTTTGCCGACGCTCGAGAAAAAAATTTAAGGCGCGTAAAGCTCCGATAAACGCGTTTTCGTCTAACCGGATAGTACAAGGACATGTCTCCGCACTCTTTTCTGATTGTTTAATTTGGTGTTGACGTCGTTTGACGAGCAGCTCCAGCATGTTTTTCATCAAATAGCCCGTGATACTTGACGCCATTTGCCTAATGCATTTTCGTAAGTTGCCCACACACGAAGTTTACTACTAAATGCATCCGCGTGGAGTCATACGATATGTCGATTTTCTAAAAATTTGCATTAAGCGAGGACAAAAGCTCTCGCATCAACAGTCCATTTTTTCGTAGTCCTTTGCCGCGTGATTTAACTGCACGCGCGCGTTTCGTGTCGCGCACTGCACTTATAACGAGAACGACGTACCTACGACGAGAGCAAAAGAGGTGTCGCTGATGCTCTCCAGCATAGTAGTGCCCGTTAGCTGCAGACGCGCGACAGTCGCGCATATAGGCGCAGTCTGTAACCATACTAATCCGCCGATGGATTTATGGTCTTAATCACCGGCCGGATTATCTCGGACAGGCCCACGCGTTGCGCGCGCGCACTCGCTACTTGCACTGCTGCTGCCACTACCAGCCAGCAAAACACGCGCCTGCCTCTTTGCAGATAACTGCCAGAGAATGGTGAAGCGTTGGCCGCTCTTGTCGTGCGTACGGCTATATACGCGAGAGTTTCGTTCTGCAAATTGTTATGGGTCACGAGTGCTTGCAAGCACTATACTGACGCACGTACGCGTTCGTCTCTCGGAGACAAACAATCGCAGATTTTTTCCGTTCACACGTGGTAATTAGCTCGTCCTTCAGTCAGATTTGTAACATTTTTTTCTGATAGGTTTTCATTAACTTCGAAGATTTTCTTTCAAGTATTTGATATCAATTATCAATCGGTACTCTGAACGAGATGAGTCAAATGTAACGGGTAACATGAACAATCAAAGAAAAAATGAATGCTGAATAGAACGGAAGGAAGAGAAAAGCGCACGCGGACAAAAGTTTTTGAAATGCATAGGCAGCAACAATATTTACATAAAGTGAAGCCCGGGGAAAACAGCGAGAGAGAGAGAGAGAGAGAGAGAGAGAGAGAGAGAGGTGGCTGGCTGGCGTGAAAGTCAGAGAGCAGTTATAACTCGGGCAGGCTAGGGAGAGTTTCGGAATATACATTGGGAGGCGAATAGACCGCAAAAAGAGAGACAGAACAATGAAGCTAGATGCTCCTCTCTCTCTCTCTCTCCCTCTCTCTTTCTCTCTCTGTCTCTCTCTCCAACTGTGTGCGTAGGGCCAACAGAATTTGCGGAATTTTGGTACATGGCGTATAACGTCGCGGACGCTCTGCGTGCGGTTCTATAAATCCATAGGGGCTTACCAGCGCAAAGCCCACCTTGCACGACGACCGTGCTTTGCGCCGCATTCGAGCGAGCACGACCGCGCTGCTGCTGCTGCTGCTGCTGCTGGCCTTTTCTTGCTTGCACGCCTCTATAAATGCAAAATCGGACTGCGCCGACTGCCCCCCCCCCCCAACCCGCACTCACATACGCACCTATAATTGTCTCTCTCTTTCTCGATATCGTGCGACCAACCACTACGCCACAAATTTTCGTTTTCCATCGAAATTTAAATTTTCGGCGTTACTTTTGTTCGTTCTACGTAAATTGATGTCTTTCATCGACATGTAAATGAACACTTCAACTGCTTTAGAGTGTCGAAATATCTTTGTGAGACAGAAAGCGTTACTGTCTGGTTTTCAAGCCAGAACATTGGATGTTTATCTTGTAACTGATCTACTGGCGATTGTCCGTGAAGCTACTGTTGAATGCTTTTCTTACAAGATAGTCGCTTATAGCTAAACGTATTAAAACTTTGATAGCCTTAATTATCACTTGAAAGAATCTAAAGAATTTTGTAACGTTCCTTCCTCTTAAAGTGGAAATAAAAAAATGTGATTTGTAATTAAACTTACCCTGACTCGCGCCTCTGATAGATTCGTCCACATAGCGATCTCTTCCCTGGTGGACATGTCGGGATATCGATTCCTCGTGAAGGTCGTCTCGAGTTCTTGCAGCTGTTGCGACGTGAAATGCGTCCTCTGCCTCCTTTGCCGCTTGCCCTTCTTGTTGTCTTTATCGTCACCGTCGCCGCCCGACGGCGAGTTGCCGTCGCTTCGCGTCACCTGCTCGTGCTTCATCTCCGCTATCGTTGGCAAGTCTAAAAAAAATATCGTTTTCTTTCTCTTCAGAATAAATATTATTTCTACATGGAGATTATAAAGCCGTTAAAATGTTTTTTTCGACGATCTATTTTTTTGTGCCTGTACATCAATCATTTTAAAAAAAATCAATCTATCAGCGATACTTTCAGGTCATGCTACTTGGATGCCATATTTAATCAATATCTCTCTGCAGCATCCCTTTTAACAATGTCACACTGCTATATGGCATAGTAGGATCATTGGGTGTTATGAGTATTCGCAGCGGGTGGTGCTGGCGCTGTATAGCCGACCGTATATGTGCGCGACAATGACAGGTGAGGGTAGATTGTCCCTGTGACTTGTACTTAGTGCTTAGGTAACGATCGATTAACGCATAGGCGTGGACTAATGCACGCATACAACCTTAGGTATCGCGAGATAAATGATGAGTGGTTGTGATTTACGCGCGAGGTAACAATTCAAATTGAAGAGATTTGAAAATACGTTGTGCGTCTTTTATCGATTGACTCTTAATGACAAATTTGTTCGATTTTGATTCTTAATGGAGAGAATTTCCATGGCAGTTAATTCAAAGATCGTGGACGCGATAAAGTTAACACTTTTTTTCGATGAGGCTCTTAACGGTAATCTTGCCGTAACAGTAAATTAACTAAAATGTCAGCAATCGCATGGCATTAGCTCAAGAGAAAGAGAGAGAGAAAGAGAGAGAGAGAGACAGAGAGAAAACGATTTAGGGACTTTAGGCGTAAGTTCAAGTGGTCTGAGAAAGCAACTGAAAGATCTCGGCCTTATCCCGGGGGATTACAAGGAACGAACGCCAGATCTGTCGGGGTTATTGTTAACCGGATACGCAGATTATCAATAGAAGTTTCCATTCATGACAGCTTTCAATGGTTCTATACGGCACTCATCGACGCTGCGCGTTCTGCATTTCATAATGCTTACTCTTCCTAGGATCACAGCTTCTGGCGACGTGTTTGACCGGTTGCGTCGTGACGAAACCTCTGGATGGTGTGATTGGTGCAGTGGTTCCGGGTGTACTCGGATTGCTGCCGCTGGATGTGTGAGCTCCGTGACCTGAAGAGTCTAACCTCGCCAGACTGCTGCTATTCGTTTCGTCCCTGAAGTCACTCTGCGCCCACTCTGCAAATGTCAAGTGTTTTTTGTCAGCATGTGTGTGGTATATCAAACGCAATGTTTTCGGGACATTGGGGCGATTTGTAAGTTCGTGGTAGGTCTTACTTTCTCAGTATGGAACGCCGCATAAAAATAATTATTTTACTAAAGTTTGCGGAGATCAATTTATTTTATAACTTATGGTTGATTTGGAACAGAAATAAAAATTTTTATTTCATACGAATGATTACGATGTTTATTTAATTAAAAATAGTAAGAATAAAACGGCGTCAACAATTATTTACAATCGAAAATGATTAGTTGGGAATGATTAAAAAAAGGTCAAATAGAAATATCGTTTCGAAGTGTGAGCCAAACTGACAAAAAAGCAGAAAAAGGCAAGCTGCAAACGCGCAGCTATACGTTGCTGTTACGGTTACGAGTAAAAAGTCTTGTGAGAGCTGTCGTCCTCGGGTGCTGAAATTGGTCGTCGCGTGGCTGAGACGCTAATCGTCGTAAGTCGCTCCCGTTTAGTTATATTTGGTCGAGTGCGAGAAGGAGGAGGAGGGAAGCTATAACCGCGACGATTAGTCGGCGCATAACTCCGGGCTGATTTAGAGCCGTGGCTACCGCGAAGCGTGTTCTCTTACCCCTCGTTGTCTTCTTCTTTTCTCCCCTCCTCCCCCCTCACGCGCGCCGCGTTCACTCTCTCTCGGTCTTCTACAGCTGTCCTTTTGAAAAATGCGCCTCACAAATTTTCGTATGCGCGTCACACAGTCTCGAGACTACCGAGACGAGAACGATTCCTGTCCTCGTTTTTTCGTCGTCTTTTCTCTCTCTCTCTCTCTCCCGGCATTTTAAATACTTTCACCTCTGTTTTTTTCAATGGTGTAACTTTAGATACTAAACGGTGACAACTACAGAACAGCTTATTGAGAACGACTTGTCACTTCATTAACACTTTGTTCGCCAGAAAAAATAGCCGAAGTGCTTTCTCAAAATCTTACTTGACAATTTTGCATACTAATTCCCAGACGAGTATTCGTCACGCTTTCGAAATAATTTATGTTAAGATGCACCTACTATTTATTGATGAAATCAGGAGAGTGCGCAAGATAATTTCGCAGCTAAAGCTGTTTGACAAGCAATAAAATAAATCGGAGCGCGCAGTTATCATATCTCACGTGAGAGAATCTCGCGAGCCTGTTGCCCGCTTATATCTGGCTAATCTTCGAGAAATAAACAGAGATCGTTTACTTGAGAGTCGTATCTCTTGGTTTCAGAGTTTTGGAAACACGTGTAAATAAGTGACCGCGCGCTCTCAAGCTGTTTGCACAGGCCTCATCGCTCTCAAAGAGAACGACGTCTATACACCTCCCATGAGAATATCATTCTCAGCATCCACTAGCCGCCTGCGTAAACAATACTTAAGGGAGCTTAGATGGGCGCCGCCACCACTCGTCGCGATAAATACGCGTTTCTTACTTAATTTATGTACTTGTGTATTTCCGTGCGACGCCGAATAACAAGACAAAATCTTCGCTTAAGGTTCTATAATATATTTACTCTAGAAAGGTATTTACCGTGGGAACTTGAGATTCTTACTTTGGTTTTTAACTTGCGAGCGCGTAAGTGAACTTCTAAACATTTTTAATTTAGAACTGAAAACAAAATTTTAAAAGTAAGTTTGTCGATACGAGATTTATGTGATTACATTCTACGAGGAAGTAGTAGTTCCCTTTCAACTGAAATTTCGGTCATTGATAAATCCTCAATGATCTCTTCTTGAAAAAAAATGCTGGGGCCGCGTGAGGTCAACGAGTTCCATGTGCTCATCCCAAGAATCGAACCCCTGCTACTGTGACCACAAATTGACGTGAAAAAGAAACAGATTGCCCAAACTTTCTCTCTTTAAAGAACACGTGGCTTGAAATCGATACAGCATCGTCGAAACTGAAAAATTATAAGAAATAAGGCAAGGGAAAATAATCCGCCTTCGGGAAAGCTATAAAACATTCAGAAAGATATGTAGGTTGGCCCTCTCAAGAATGACGATGCACAGAAACTGGAATATCTGATGCTTAATGATACTTGAATCATTACTTTTAAGAAAATAATGTAATTAGATAAATTGCGATTTGCAATTATCACTTTAGCTTTTCGTGAAAATACTCAAATTTATTTTTCAATTTTATTTAATCTTCGTTACTTCGATTTTGAAAACAAGGATCAAACTTGTCGACAGAGCTAATTTTTCGTAAAATGTACCCCCAGTATTGAAATATTAGCAGCAACTTCAAAATCCTTTCGTAAAATACATTGGAAAAACAGTGCAACCTATAGATTTAGCATGACAACTGCGCATACGCAACGAAATCAAAATAGCAATACAGAGAGCAATAAAAATAAGCGGAGTAGCAAGAAAGAGAATGTGGATGCGTGAATAAACGATGTCATCTTGACAATTCATTACTTTTTGCCCGCACACGCAGTAGCACACTGTGCGGCTGTACGGAGAGAGAAAGTCAAGAAGAGATCGAGAGGCTCAGCTGCTCGACGCGTTTTTATCTACGAGATGTACATATTTTAACCGAAGAGCTTAAGCTTCCACGGATTTAACGGCCGCGCCACCGCGTATACAATTGCCTATACTGCGTTTTCTCGCGTCTTGCGCGCTCCCTTCCGTTTTCCCCAACACTCCGACCCCCCCCCCTCCTCTTTTTAAAATTTTTTGTCTTCTTTTTCGCCGCTTTTTTTTGTGTCTCCGTCTTTTTTCGGTCGTTCATTGCCACCCAAAGCGACATCGCCGTACGCGAAATTTAAAATATTTCGTTTGTCAAGAGTTTAATTTAGAAAACATATATGAATGTTCCGTTTCACTTGCAGTTTTGATAAACTAATCTCAGGTACAAACATTTTCTCGATTTTTCTGTTCGATTCCTGTTTCAATGAGAAAGTTACCGAAATATCATGGAAAATTATTTCCAACAAAAGAAAAGCGTGCACTTGTCTTACACGGGGCGCATTTTAACAGATTGCGTGAAAGCCTTCAGCGAGCGTGAATAAAGCGTCACGTGTCGGCGGGTGGTTTGTATATATGTAAGCGCGAGAGATAGAGAGAGAGAGAGAGAGAAGGAAGGTCGATGGGTGTTTAGTGGCGCGTGTCGTGGCGTGACGTATAATGCAAAACGAAGGGTCCTCGTGCCGTTGAATTTCCCTATATACGTTGTGCGTTTGCATCATCGCAAATGTCCCACGTGTTTTTCCGATCGACTGTGACACACTTCGAATCAAGTCTACTGTGTAATGCGACCTAATTCGACGGGAATTGGCCTTTTATTCGACACAAAACTCTTCGTACATATCGTTAATCATCAGCCACCGTTTTCTGTTTCTCTCTCTTTCTCTTGGCTCAAATTTATGCGTAAGAACATTTGTTGTTGTGCGTTCAACTGCACGAAGTGTATACCGTAATGGTATATTAACTTGATGAGTCGTAAGATGTAGTCGATATTCTGAAATAATGTAGATGGCCCATTACCCCAAAGCATTCGTTCTACATTTATACTGTATTACTTCTTGCGACTAGATTGTTTCGTCAGCCAATCTCTTATGATTCGTAAAAAAAAATTGGCGAATAAAAAAATGTTCTCTATTTATACTGAGTTACACTTGAAAGTATAATTTTCTCGGTCTCGTCTGACAAATCGTCAAAGAAAAACAGCGAGCGTGGGCACTCGAAAGACTCGAGCGCGCCAAATTTAGAAAGAACACACACGCATAGGTCTCGTGACAAGACCACACCGATAAAATATCAAGTTTTTTTTTCTGTCGTTCGCTTGCGTGCAGCATCTCGTATACGGTAATTACCCAAGCGAACAGCTTCATCGAGCGAGGCGCTTGAAAAAGACGTCGGGCGGGGAGAAGACAACGAGAGTAAAAAAAGAAGGGAGAGACTAGGAAAAGCACCTGCGCAAGCGTCAAGAAAAACTTGGGGCGCGCGCGTGCTTTACAGGAACGTGAACGAGAGAGGGAGAGAGAGAGAGAGAGAGAGAAGGGGAGTTGGCCTGAACGCCCTAATCTTCTAATCCTTCGCTTCCTTAGGAAGTCGTTTATTAGTTGGCTGCGCGCGATGCCGCGTCCGCGGCCACGTACACCAACTGGGAAAGCGAGTGTCCGATGAAGATGTTCGTTGGAATAAGTTCTTTGTATCTTTCATAATACCAATGGCTATTTTTCGTTCTTCTAGATACTTTATTTATATTATTTTAGCGCCGCGAGCCGGAAATATCGCCAAAGGCACTCAGTTTTAGCTACAAACGACACAAATGTTATGACGAGAGTGAATTTGAATCATAGCTTCGATCAGAATTACAACTATGTTACTATACAGTTTGGCTATGAAACGCGCACCTGGCAAATCCAGTAACGGTCGCGCTCCGGCGATAGTACCGCGAGCGGGATAGTCACGTCGAGCTTGTCCGGCAATTTGTTTAGTTTGAACTTGACGATCATGCGGGGAAATGACACGTGCGAGAGCTGCAGGAGTAACCGGATAGCTGTACTCCTCCCTTGTACAGGGATTTTTCTTTCGGGCAGGCCACTTCTTGTTCTGCCTTGCGTACAGCAGCACGGATGTCGCAGACTGCCTGGCGCTGAGCTCCGCAACGCATCTCTGTCTCGTGCGTGATGCGACAGCCGACCATAGCGGGCAAGTCGTGGGACTTATCGCGTTACGAGTTCCTGCGGCGCGCCGACCTCACTTTCTCACACATCGGCACGCCCCGCTATCCCTTATACCTATTACCAACTTTTAACGGGAAATCTTTTCAACTTTTCACTCGCGCTCTCCGCGACGGGGCGCGTTCTAATTATTTTAGAGTTATAGCCTGAAGCTTCGCAGAGTGTTTGTACATGTTTAGGCACCCGTGAGATCATTCTGCTTTATACTTTTTTCGGCAATGTATTTTGCAGCTTTGATATCATTAAGTATCAGTGAAAATATCACGATTCCACATTGTTAATGGCTCTTTCGTTAACTATGTAGCTCAAATATTCAAAGAATTTAATGGAGCCAATATCGCACGACTTTCAAATCGTTATAAACAAATTAACATTTGTTATTCCTTTCGACTGGAATTATTGCATAATATTATAATTTTAATACCACTAGATGATTATAAAATGTAAATTGCTCTTGACGCGATTCAAAATAAGTCAAGCTTTTCGATAAAACGCAAACAAACCACAAAACGATGGCAAACGTAAAGTATGTATTCCTGTCCCTCGCCCCTCTGCGGCATGTTTCTTCAGTGGTGGCGCGTTCAAGATAATGGGAAGAAAATCAGTTCATTTCTATGTTGATCCTGCGGCGACGGGCGGCAGCAGATGAGCCAACCACATCATCGGGGTCCCCCAGCCTTTTCTTCGGGGCGTTGTGTCGGAGCCGACGCAGATTGACCGCGTTATCGCAAAAACTCAATCGAAAAGTATCGTGCGTGATGGAAGTTTTTTCATATAAACCGTTAAGCTCGCGTTCTCGATGTTTTGCCTAGACGCGCGCGCGGCTTTAATATTTCGATGTCATGCATCGCTTTAATTTATTTTCGCGCTTATACACCTGGATCGGCGAATGGACGAACTGTACATTATTGATGCACATTGATTTTATTTCAATGGCGCTCGGTAGTAATGGTAGTCTTCAGGAAATTGTTATGGCTGAAAAGAGCTATCGACGATATAAAATGGCACATTTAACAAATGTGCTTGTACTGCAGTTGTGACACTTGTGCAGTTGTGGCAAAGGTGATTAACCATTTCCCTGAAAATTTTCCTGGAAAATTAATTGGAGCGATAACGCGAGCGAGATCGGTCACATTGCGCGCAAATGTCATCTGACTCATGCATCACGAAAATTAATTCCAATATCTCTGGCGCGCTCGCTCGAATTTATTACCTTCATCGCTCGCAGGGAATATGAAAGTTCGCTCGCGGCGGCTGCCGAATCCATCGTTCGGATAGCTCTCTTTACACGTACACGGCGGCCGAACGTAACGCATCCCACAGATTCGAGCTGATAGAAGTTTTTTCGCTGGTCGCACATGCTTTGTCCCCTCTTGCGGGCGGAAGGATGCTCGCGTATAGATCCCCGGGGAGGCGCGGCTAGTCAAGTAATTTGTCAACACTATTAGGGGTTGACTCGTCGGCTGCGCATCTGCCACATCCGATGACGATACAAATGGCAAAGGGGTTGTCGCGCTCGCGTGGAAAGGAGTGCATCTCTCTCTGGCCGTATGTTGGCCAAATATTGGCTGACCGTTTGGCGCTTTTCCATTTTTCCTACGATTGATGGCTGTGCGCCGAGAGAGCAGCGGCGAAAAAGAGATTTATTGTCATGCCACACCAGTCAGTCGTCTATTGTTGACGCGTTCTCTGTTTGCGCCCGACTCTTCTTCTCTATATATAAGCCGCGTGCGTGCTGCCACCGCCGAAGGATCGAGCCAATTTCAAATCTATCGAGACTCGATGTGACTTTGATGCTTCAACAATTATCCTTACACGTGATTGATGCTTCGGCACCCAGGAAAAATACATTATTTTTCTAAGACGATTTAATCGTCACTCCGGCGGACAATTAGACGGCATACGTCACACTCTTCGTATACTCACTTTCGAGAGCTATACTCGACCCATGCAATTTAACATTTCCGAAAGAATATTATCAGTCGATGAAAGTTTCATTTTTTCTTCAATTCAAGCACGTATTGCACGACGAAATATTTTTACTGCTCGAGCGATCGATCTAATCTTTTGTATAGGCCTGCGCCTGCGATAAAAATCTTGGTAATTCGTCATTTCGGATATAGACCTATAATTGATGAGACTATATCGACCACACAATGAAAGCTGTTTGTAACAACAATGATCGAGCAGTCGTACGGTCAAAAATAAACGCTGACGTAGAGTTTGATAACAAAGGAATATCATTGGTTTTACTGTTTACTTTTTCTTTTTCTTTTTCTTTTTCTTTGGCAACGTGAACGGATGCTTGTATTGTTTTTATTGCAGGTATAGCGGAAGTTTTCAGAGGCGAAACAAAAAAGCACACGCGAGAAAAGTTAATTAAGTTTAGGCGAACAATCAAAAGTTAAATTGCAGGCAGCGCGCATTGCAGAAACTCGGCAGTTTGGCGAAAAGTTTACAAATCTAGGAGAAATAAGAAGTTGTTCGTGGCCAAAGAGACATAAAGGAGAAGAGAGAGAGAGAGAGAGAGAGAGAGAGAGAGAGAGAGAGCGTATATAGCTGCGAGGTATATACGACAGAATGCCCGCAGCGAAGAGAAGAGAGCAAGTCTGAAACTGAAATGGGAATAGGTGGGATGCCATTGGAATAAGATCGGGTTTAGCCGCGGTGTCGGCTTCGAGCCCCGGATAAGTCCGCCTTATCCCGATAAGCCGGTGAGTTAATGAATCACAAAACAGGTGGCGGCGGCGGTGGCGGCGCCGATCTCGCGAGGAGCTTGTTTGCGATCTCGCGTCCGAGAATGCCCACTGCTCTGACATCGCTCGCCAAAATTATCTTTCTAATTACCACCTCCTCTCGTTGCGGCTCTCTCCGCGTCTCCGAGGGCACTATCGCGCGCCCACGCGCCGACGCGCCCCATCCCCTCAACGCCCGATATTATTTTCATTAGATCGAGGGTGGCTAATGTCGCGGAAAATATCCTCCACGCAGTCTGCATAAGCAATTGAAAAAGTTTGCCTTGCGTGCTTTAGCGCTCGTTTACTTTTGACAACATCGTTTCGTGCGCAGTAAGAGTAAATTGTAGTGGTCGATGCCGCTTACATGTGAGATCAAACGGAATTTCTAACTGTTCATATGCAGCGATCGATATGCCAGTGAAGCATTAACTTAAGACGTTTGGATTGTACGAACGCGGCGTGATGTTCAATTATTTCTGACGTTTCTTTTCGATGAAAGGATCATTCAACAATTGCGATTATCACTAGTGACGGATTGATGAGTAAATAACGCCCGATTCGATCAATATATCTCGTGAATTATTAGAAATCGACGTACGAAACTGGCCTATCTCCATATCTCAGCGACAAAAAATTTATTAGGTAACTAACGATAAGCGATGCGTTGAAAAAAAAATTTTCGAGCAATATCTAAGATGTCTAATTAATTTTTCTTTCCCGTTCCAGAACAATCACGCTGGCATCCGATAGCAGATCTAATTTTGGTTATCGCGCGGGTGGTATGTTTCTTTCTGTGATGTTTCAGAGAGCGTCGGGCAACGCTACACGGGCTTATCGCTTTGTTAGTACTAAAACTTTATCTATATTTGTCCGACATCCAACAAAAGTGGTACACTCGTCGCGTCGCACGCGCATGTTGCAACAAATTTTTTTACGAGTGATTTAGGGTTTCGTTGTACTCTTAATAGTACGCGTATTCCGTCATTTGCTTTGCTTAACCTTAATAAGCCGCGAAAATGTTTTGACGAATGAGTCTATCTATTAACTGAATCATCTATTGCTGTCTTTAGCATTTCGCAATGAAAAGTACTCTTTGTAACTTTAGTAACTTTGTAACAGTTTATTATCGAGTTTACCTTTATTTTGGCAACGCTGTCGTTATATTTATTGTCTTTACAAGAATTTCTTTCATTCTCCAAGGTCTTTTGTAATTTATTATGAACTCTTCTGATATGCACGTTTAAAGAGACGAGAATAAATATCTGCTCGTTTATCGTAAGAATATTAGATTTCATTAATTATAACGTTGACTCTTTTATTTTAAGACTTTCCTCTCCGTCATAAACAATCAGAATGATCGTGCATAAATATAATTTTTAAGAAAGTTGAAAAATTCTCGAACTTCGCAGAAAAGAGTTTACGTAAATAGAATCGATTCGTAAAAGATTTGCAGAGTAAGGCGAGAAGCAATCGGCTGTCCCGCGTTCCGTCGGCACGTGTGTCTGCGCCGCTCTCTCGCGTTCGCTCGTTCGCTTATCGAATTAATTTCCAATCGCTGTTTTATTCCATGCACAAAATTGCCGGCTATTGATCGCGAGATGAGATTACTTCGGAAAGAAGTTGACGGCGTTTTTCCGTAAACAAATGCAACCGAGACGAACGGAATTGCGATCGCGACGCACAGCTTGCAAGCTTGATCGCGCCCTACTAAAACAGCTCGATTTGGCCGGGCGACAGCATCCAGCAGTAATACTAGAATCGACTCACCACGTTTAAGCCTCTCGAGGGGCTCGTGCAGTATCTGATGAGTGCCGTTGTGCAGCATCGCGGCAGCGGCGGCCGAGCTGCTCACATGATGATGGTCGTGGTGGCTGTTGGCGTGCAAGTGATCCAGATGATGGCCAGCGTGTTGCATGGCACTCTGCAGATGGTCGGTAGTGTGCTGCTGGAGACTGTTGATGTGCTGCTGTTGGCCGTTGGCGGCACTGCTGACGAGGTCCTGGAGGCAGAGCTCGCCGCCGGCCAACTCGAGGCCGGCGGACGACGAGACGCCGATGGCCGAGTTGGCGCCAATGCCGACGATAGCGCTACCTCCAATGGACCCGTGGCCGCCGCCGAGGCCGGCGCGATCCATGCTGTAGTAGGCCAACGTCTTGTCGGCTACGTGCGTCCGGCCGCGTGTGCGTCCTGTCCTTGCTGGCGGCGGCTGCTACTCGCTCACTGCCGCGCCGCACCTGTCGGCGCACGCGACGTCGCTCTTCGGTGATCGATCCCTCGCGAACCAACGAACCAACGAGCCTCAAGTCATATCACCAGGCACTTGTTTGCAGCGTCGCCGCTATAGCACGCGCACAACAATGGAGGATGCCACGAGGACTGCTCGATCCTCGGGCTCGAGCGTGCTCGGCAGACGGAACGACGGTAGACACTGGCGCTCGCGGCACTTCTGGCTCGAGCTTTTGGCGGGCGCGCGTACACGCGATAACGCCTTCCTGTCACACTGGCTTACGTAAGGCAGGTGCACGGCCGAGCACAGGTAACGTCGCGGAAAAAAACGGAGATACCGTGGTCGTCGATGCCGCTGCTGCTGGGCAGCGCCGCGTGGCACGCACTCACTCTCTCTCGCTCGCTCGTCGAGGCTTAAGCTCCTCGCTTAAGTCGCGGCTAAGCCGAGGCGGGGATCCGGAAAGCTGTGCTCTGCGAGTGCCTCTCTGCCTTATACTTGCGCTGCGCCCGCCGGCGGATGCTGTGCTGCCAAACAGCCAGCTCGACTTGGCTCTGGCGCTCGCTCTATCTCTCGACGCTGCTGCTCTCTCCCTCTCTCTCTCTCTCGCTCACGCTCCCTTGCACCGAGCCACTGCGCTGCGAAGGGGAGGCCATCCCCACTGCGACGGCAAAGCCCCACCCACACCGCCGCAGCTGATAGGGCTTCTCCGACCGCTTGCCCCCTACTGCGCCACGCGCTCCGAGCCGCCGCCGCCGCCGCACTTTTTTCACCGCTTTGCTGGCCCGCAGCTCCTGCATTGCCTGCAGACTCGCTTCACTCTCCAGCGATGCGTTTTCGCGCAGCAGTTCTTCACTCGTGCGCTTTTTTCGGCTGCGCTCAGAAAAAATACAGCTGATTCAACGAGTTGGCTCTTCATTCGGCTGGTCCTCCACTGATCTAGCTGCAGAGCTGCCAAATTCATTGCCGCTCTGTCAAATTGACGGACCGCGCTCTGTGATCGAGCCAACAGCTGAGTCTGCTCTTTTCACGTTTAATTACGTTGTGTTGACGTCATATCGGTTCTATTGTCACCGGCTGCGTCGAGTCAATTCAAATATGACGTTAAAACTAAAACCCCGTTCGATAAAAATTCGAACTGTCGGTTAGAATACCAATTTTCCGCCAGATGGTTAATCTGAATGTGTGAACAGTTTTTTCTACACGCGCGCAGACATTCTTCTCCATAATACTATATAGGAGCTTTGATCGTTATAGTATTGGAAATTGTATGATAAATAAAAGCACGAACAAAATATTTTGTATGAATTCAGTAGTTATAACGATCAACACGGGAAAAGCGGGGCAGTAAATGAAGTTTGCTATGGTTCAATAATAAACGACGTTTCGTCAGTATTTCTCTCGCCTCCTCAAGCTTTATCAAAATACAAAACAACGTAAATTAGTTAAATTGTCACACAAATTAACAAGACAAAGCGATATTCACATTTGTCTAGTCAATAACGATCAAATTGTGCGTAGGCTAAAGAATATTTTTCATAGCCAGGCAAAATAAAATTGAGACAAATTTTAGCTAGTATTGCTATGATATAGCGCAGGAAACTACAAATTTGTATTAAAAAGTTAACTTTCATCTATTTTAAGGAAATCTAACAGTGGTTTGCATAAACGATCGATAAATTGTACATCCTCTTTCTTATTAAAGTTATCATTCGATAACTGAAATTTTGCGTTCTTTGTAATTACTTTCGTAATCTAATATCTTAGCATGACTCTATTCAAAGTCACGTGATCAGGTGTTTTTATTTATCGTAGCAGCAGTTTCACCCCCAGTGGTCTTTTATTTTCGCCAATATAGAATGCTGCACATTGTTTACATTGAAACGTACAAAATAGTAGTTCTTTCTAATAACTTAGTTTTGTCTTTTCCTAAACGTATTATTTTTTGTAGCGGTTTTTACAATAATGCAGTCGTTGGAATATTAAGGTCTCTCAAAATGACTACATTTTTCAATGATATCTTCCAAAAATGTACCTCATTTTAACACAACTACATATGTAGTGAATTTAACGGGGGGGGGGGGGGGGGGGGGGAGTCTGTAAAATCAGTATACTAAGTGTCTTAATTGAACGGCTGAGATTGGACCGATGCGAAAACAGCCCGACACAAATAACATTTTATAAAAAAAAAATGATCACATCTCACGTATGTCTAATTGTACTTCTCGAAAAAATAATTATTTGTTATTGTACCATTCTATTTCTCATAAAAAATAAAAAATATCGTTATCGATAATTCACCTCCTATTTATTCATATAAAAGACATAATTAAGCAAAAATAAATTCACAGAAAAATTGTACCTTCTGTAGTCTAAATTGTACCATCAGTACAATTCTATAAATTTGTTTCTAAAAGAAATAATAGGACAATTACAAATTACCACTAATTGTTACAACTTACAAGGATGTCATCCGGAAATGCACTTTGCGCAGGCGTAGAGCTTTGTAATTGTCCTATTATTTCATTTAGAAACAAATTTATTGAACTGTACTGATGGTACAATTTTTCTGTGAATTTATTTTTGCTTAATTATGTCTTTTATATGAATAAATAGGAGGTGAATTATCGATAACGATATTTTTTATTTTTTATGAGAAATATAATGGTACAATAACAAATAATTATTTTTTCGAGAAGTACAATTAGACATGCATGAGATGTGATCATTTTTTTAATAAAATGTTATTTATGTCGGGCTGTTTTCGCATTGGTTGAGATTGGTGGGTTCATATCAACACGACATCTACTGTTGTTTCAACCATAGTTATTTCTCGGTATATGTGTTTTCTTGTGTTCTTTCATACCTACCGATCCGGCCAACCTTTTTGCGCTTGAAGCTGATCAATACCTCATGGTGATTCTTTTTTGATGGCTATGCTCACCTTAAACTCGTTGCAATTATATGTTTTGATTTCTTTACTTCCACGTGGTATTCTACTATTTTCAGTGGAAATTATTTTCGAATGAAGAGAATGTTAAGGCATCATACCGTATGACTGATTGGAAGGATTCAAACGCAAGACTGATTGACGAGGAAAAAATAATTCGCATAATCGTCGATAAATGATGGTCGAAATAAAACTTGATGCAAATGACACGTACGTACGCGGGTACATTTAACTGAATAGAAGTGTGAGAAGTGGATCAGCCGCACAGCGACGTTAAGCGCACAAGCTTTCGGACAAAAGAAGCGTAAGAGTCGGAGCATTCCGGCGTCTTCGTCGGCACGAAAATAAAGAAGGGGAGAGCAGTAGCAGCAGGCAGGAAAAACTTGGTTAGCAGAAGCCGCAGCCTTCGGCCGGCAGTATAAGAAAGAGCGCCAAGTCTACTCTGGAGGAAATCGAGAAAGCGAAGCCGAAAAGAAGACGCCGGCGAGGGATGGGGTGGGAGGCAAGACGAAAAGTTCGTGTCTATCTGTTTCTCTGTGTGGCTCTGACTATCACAGGGGGATGCAAAGAAAGAGCGAGCGAGCGACGGGGCAGATAGCAGTAGTACGTTCGTCAGCGCGGCGTTGTCGGGCGAGCGGCGGTGGAGGGGGCAGTGCGAAACCACGCCCTCGCGCAACGTCTCGTGGGCGTTACGTAGCGCCGCCGTCGCCCTTGCTACTGCTCTGGCTCTGCTCTATCACGCGCAACGACGACGGCCGCGCGGCCACCGCCGGTCATTCTCCATGCTACTCCGCAGCTCGCCGAGTTCTTGTTTCTTCGTCTCTTTCAAATTTCAGCGCGAGACGCGATAGGTGCGCGCAGCCGTGCACGTGTGTGGGCGCAAGGCCGACTCTCACCCACACGCGCCAAGGCTGTGATGGGAGACGTGCTGCCGCGAGTCAACGCTGATTTTTCTTTTCTCTTCCTCTTTCTCTCGACATCAGCTCTCTCTCTCTCTCTCTCTCACTCTCTCTGTCTCCGATCACTCGTATGATCTTTCTATATCATCGTTTTTTGCAGCCAGCTCTCTACTTTTTATTCGTGTGATTTCGTAATCGCCAGAGTTATTATTAATCCTAGGCTACAGGTGTGTGTGTGTATGTGTGTGTATAGACACTCGATCGTTTGACTTTTATATCGACTATAAATGGATAGACGTAGCAATGCGAAGAATTTTCAAAGAAAACGTTTATTCAACCAATACATGTGGCATTCACTTTATCAAAATAAGTTTTCATTGAACCAAAATAATCGATACGTAATTATTCTTTGAATGGACGGCACTAGTTGAATGTTTGTTGTCTGGATTCAGATTCCCGTATAATGAGATTTTGGTATACAATAAATTGTTACTCGGTTAATACAGCCAATGTAGTATTTATATTACGCTGACGTATTGTTCAAAGATCTGGTACGTAAAATATTCTAATTGATGTCTTTTATGCGTTAGAGCTTCTATTTACGATCGTTGTCTGCCTCGATATCGAGGAAGAGAGAAATGCGACTTCCATAAAGCCAGTTATGACCTGACTGCTATAAAAGGATAAGACAGCTATTTATCAGCTACGTAGAAGGTCTGAGGCGCCGCTGTAAACCAAACTTATACACACACACACATATATATATATAATTACTACACTAATTTTTTTCGATACTTGCTCGTTCAACATTTATTTTTATACTTAAATTTTGGATAAACTTAAACATTTCTGCTCAATCTGGTTGATTCGTTGAATGAAAATCAATCGATGCGTAATGTTGCTTGATTGATGGCACTTATTTTAGAATTTAAAAAAAAATTACGGACTGACATTGAAAAATATTCTGAAAGTGACAAGGTAAAGTGGATCGATCGTTCGAGTTGTTCCAAGATATATTATTCTGTTTATTATCTGTCGACGATAAGACTTTTCTTCTGCCGCGCGTAATGGAAATGAAAATTTTTCTCCCGATGCGCGCGAGCGCGGGTTCAATAGCGATGTCGGCAAAACGCCTCCGCTCAAAGGATCGTCAACAACGCGATCGTTTACTTCGATTATCGCACTTCTGACACGATGTTTTATTAGCGATAGTGAACACGAGAGGCCGAACGCATGGCAAACAATGGATATTTTTTTTCAATTTCATACCGGTCTCTTTGTCGTGCGAGCTTGAACTATTAAGCCCCTGACAGAGATTTCAAGCAGGCGAGACACGAGTAAACAGTAAAATCAAGCGCTAGCTTTTACGTACAAGCAATTTTCAAATACAACGTTTTGCAGGGAACGTCGAAAAATAGTCTGTATAAATTAAAATACGACATCATTCTTACTACCTCGTCTATCATTCTCTGAAAGATCTTTCTCTCTCCTGCCGGCAAAAGTTGAAGCACTCGTATCCCCCATCTCCCACTCCATCGTGGCAAGCCGTTCCGTCTTTACAAATTTTATATCATTTTTACGAGGCATAAAGTTTTCCTAGCGTAGGCAAGCACCACCACCACCACCACCATCACCATCACCGAGTCACGGGAGGGATGAGAATATGAAGGAAACGACGTGACTGCGTGTTCAGTGTCGAT